TTAACAGTGACGGATTTTAATGTTACGACACGTAGGTAGCGAACGAATTTGCAAAATTAGATTGCGAACATTGCGATTCAATTGACATGAATTCGATAATGTTTCGCTCTTCGCGTTCGATCGATCAAATTCCGTGTAAAAAAAGAGTGACATGGTTATAGAGCAATGGAAATTTTTGCAAATTGTCGGCACTCGACGCTGTATTGGGCGAGAGCTGGCGCGCCGGCCATCCGAGAAAATTTCCCGACGTGGTGGCTACAGCTTTCGTTGAAGCTGAAGGAAATTACATTGCGCGGCAAAACCGCGACCACGAAGCTCGTTACGGTTCCCGCACGGGAAAGACCCCGGGAAGTAAAAGGCGAGAGGGGAAAAAATGCGGTGCGCTTTTCATTCATTTGAACGGGCACTCTTCCATCGGTATGACTCGTTAGAAATTTTCTGCGACAAGTCGCGCGTTTTTTCCGTGCCAAATGGTCGAAGCATGACACATAAACGCGTGTGCGAGCTTATGCGACGAAGCATCGCTGTGTATTGGGTTGGAACAAAAGTATTACGAATTTCAAAATTCAAGCAGCTGTAACATTCATTAAAAACGAACGAAATGTAAATTTAAAAAATGGATTTTGAAACTTAAAATTTCTACTTTTAGGAAAGTCACTGTGTCTTTTGAATTTCTATAAGTTTGATAATTTTTATGTATAGAAAACTATGAGCTGGACAAATTTTCTTCTCACTTTATTGTGTGTCACATGTCTAAAAAAACTTGCAAAAATTTCAACATTCTAACGTAAAAGCTTAAAATTTCTTCACAAATCGTTATTAAAAAATAAGATCCTAAGATTTTTGTTACTGAGTCACCGTAAATTAAATTAAAAGAGCATTTTGATTGCTCATAACTCCGTTAAAAAAATTATCGTAAAGCAATTTAAAAAAACAAATTCTTCATTTTCCAGAATTCAAAGCTGAAACTTTGCTTTATTGAATGATATAATTGCCAATTTAAAAAAATAGCTATTATAATATATAGACTATAATATAGACTATAATAGCTATAATATATAGACGTGATACAAGTGAAGTAACGCTACGAATTTTTGTTCCAACCCACAAGCGTTCATTCATTCAACCCGGCCGACTATTTTCAGAACGGCGAGAGGTGCTCTCTCACCCATTCCGTTTCGCGTAAGGTCGATCGCGAACGTGCAGACAGTAATGCTTCTCGCGTTTATCGCGAGAAAGTGAAGAGCCGCGTTTTCCACTATTGATTCGGTGATATTACTTTCCGGGACAGTAGGCACTCGATGCCGCGCTCTTGTTTGAAACTCGAACTTGCGTCCCCGCCATCCAGCCGAAGATCGATAAAGCGCCGAGCAACATCCTTGCGAAAACTGTCGCACGTGTCGTTCGCGTTGAAAAAATTATACCACGTACCATGTAATTATACCATGTACATGTTGCGATATAATCTGATTAGAAGCGAAATTTTTCGACGAGATTTAACCGTGATGGAACGAACAGGGTTTTTATGAATCTCGCTCTCTTGTTATTTCTGCACATTGTTTTCATGCTATTTTTCTCCGGTACTCAAATTGTCTAAGCTCCTCATGTATCATCCCTTGTAATGTATCGTGGAAACTGCGCAAATAAGAACGTCATTCATAAAAAGTTCTTACAAGACGGACGGTAATGATGATTAATGTCATCGATCGCAATTATCGCTAATGAACGATTCCTTTTGGTATTAGCCGAGTTATTCCTGGCGCTTCAAAACTTAATTAAGCGTGGACTTCAGTGAAAAAGCCCTCTCTCGAGCTCGCATTGCGAAACGAATCCACTTACTCCCATTGACTGCTTCAGCAATAGAACCATTTATAAAATAATTTGAAAAGAGGATAAATAGTTAGAGAAATTAATATTAAAAAATTAATATAAAAAAATGAAATTTGTTGTTCTATCAGTTTTTTAAAAAATGATGCAGAACGTCACTTTTTAAAAAATCTGACAGCAACCAATTTCTTTTTTTTTTATATTAATTTAAAAGAATTAGACATGATTTTGCTCATTTTGTTCCGCTAATTGTAAGACGTAAATTTTAAATACATAGTGATGCAGTTGATGCACACAACATGCTTCTTAACATAATTTTTCGACGAGAGATATTAAGAGAAACTACATGTTATTTATTTTAATGTATTCTTATGTTCTTACGAATTTTTTATTTGCAATAAAGGTCAACGAATGTGAATTATGATCTGTCGCAATTAAGAATACTTTATCTCAAAATTATTTGTCTCCAAACGGAAAGAACTGTAGCCTGAGGCATGTATGTTTCATGAGATGTGTGTGTGCACGTATAAATAATTATCTCATGTTTCGTTTCCAAGCATTTCCGCGAACACCATTAATATTCTAGGATCTTAGGAAGATTTTTATTTTCTCGAGCATTGATATCAAGCTTACTTTTCGGAAAAATCGTACATGTTAGACACGCTAACTCGCAAATGGCGAGCTCATGAAATCGTGCTTGCTCGTTAGGAGCAGGAGACGGTAATTAGAGAATATCGCTGTCGCGACTAACTCGCGACGAACTATTTTTCTGCACGAGCCTGGTGCGTGTCGTAATTATGAACGAAGACGGGAAGAGGGCATAATTATTCTCCAGCTGTGCAACAGCGAGCAAGCAAGCGTACGCGAATGAAAAGGCAGAGAAAGTTACATTTGTCACGAACGGTGTAATTTGTTTTTGTAAACTTTTGAGTGTAGGTGTTTTTTTTTTAACATTAATCCACGTCATATTATTACACCAATTGCTATTTGCTTTTGTTACAGATGGACAACAGGCGGTGCCAACTCTTTGCGAACTTTCGGCACGATGCGTGGCGTCTCATATTCCCTTCGAGCTGGTGGAGCATTTCTATCCACCTGTACCGGAGCAACTTCAGTTGAGAATAGCCTTCTGGAGTTTTCCCGATAATGAAGAGGACATACGGCTTTATTCATGTCTCGCGAACGGTAGCGCTGATGAATTCCTTCGCGGCGAACATCTCTACCGCGCCAAGACCGTTAAGGAGCCTCTACAAATCGGTACGATCACTTTAAAGAAAATTTTTGAATAATAAAGAAAAGGAAATCTCATTTTGTTTTTAACATTCCACGAACTCCTAATATTGGTAAATATACCTATGTGATTAATCTGACGATGATTGATCTCTGAAGAAAATAATGATACATTGAAAATGTGGACAAAAATGAGAATTTGTGCAAAAATTAGCGGGCAATTTTTTTTCGTACGGAATTCTGTAATAATACCGCTTTCTTTTGATTTTTATTTTATAACAGTTTTTTTATTGGTTGCCCTCCTTCAACATATGCACTATATTGTCATAGGATTTCATCTGAGTGCCAGTGTAAATCCGCAAACGAACGGAGTCAGAGCGCAGTTCAACGTTGCTGTAACGTTTGATCGGCGCAGAATTACATCATGTAATTGCACCTGCTCCTCAACGGCCTATTGGTGCGCGCACGTGGTAGCCGTTTGCCTGCACAGAATACACATGGTATGCGCATGTTAACTTTAGGAAGACTGGCATCGGGCTAGAAGAATGGAGAAGAATAATGTTCAGTAAAATTCTTCAAAATTTTTTTTACATTTTCTATATATTTACTATACCACGTGTGATGTGTAGTCACAAATGAAATATGCGTCCCCTCATTATTCAGTCCTTTCTCCTGATTGATGTGAAAGAGCAGATTATTTTAATGTTATGCAACGTTCTTTCAGCCAACGCAAGTATGTCTGAGAGCGCCAGTTAGCGAATCCCTGTCACGATTACATCGGGAACAACTGCAGAAGTTCGCTCAATATCTCATCAGTGAATTACCTCAGCAGATTTTGCCCACAGCCCAACGACTCCTGGACGAATTACTCTCAACCCAGCCAAGTGCTATTAACAGTTATTGCGGAGCTCCCGACCCAACCGCTGGAGCATCCGCTTACGATCAAACCTCTTGGTACTTAGATGAGAAGACGTTACACGACAACATCAAGAAAATTCTCATCAAATTTTGCGTGCCGGCTCCCATAGTTTTCAGGTGGGCAGCAGCGCTCTAATAGACCAGCTGGCGCCTTCGCTGCGATAATCATTTATCATAATTCATGTCTTTTTCAGCGATGTTAATTATTTGAGCACTACCGCACCTCCAGCCGCTTCCGAATGGGCATCATTGCTGCGACCATTGAGAGGTCGCGAGCCAGAGGGAATGTGGAATCTCCTTTCCATCGTGCGCGAAATGTTCAAGAGAAATGACCGTAATGCCATTCCTCTGCTGGAAATCATCACGGAAGAGTGCATGGCATGCGAGCAAATTCTTGTTTGGTGGTTCAACACTAAAGTCGCCTTACTGAACGGCACCGGATATGGCAGCAAGCATAATATGAACAGCAACGTGCACGCTTCTCAGCACGCATGCTCGTCCCTATGCGACGAGATTGTAGTTCTCTGGCGATTGGCCGCGTTAAATCCTGGTCTATCGCCATCAGAGCGTGAAATGTTGCTTGCTCAATTTATGGCTTGGCACTTGAAGATCATAGATAAAGTGAGCATCGCGTATCTCACATTTCTTTTTCTTCTCCCTTTGACAAAGTTAAGTTTATAACGACTTTAATTGCGTGTTTCAGGTCGCCAAGTGTCGTGGCAGTTCTGTACCGCACAACTCGCACAATAGAAGTAACAGTTCACAGAAAGATTCCCTGAAACATGATCTCGCAGTCTTTACCGGATTCAAGTCAGCGCTCGAAGCTTGTTATCTTGATTGGGATGAATATATTTTACCGGGAATTACATATACCGTCGAGAATAATCCTATGTACAGCTGCTTTTGCAATGGTTCATAATTTCATAATAATTCATTGTCATATTTCATCAAGAAAATATTAAGGAACAATAAACGCGTATTTTTTAGGTAAATTCTAGTTCAGCGGTATTGAATTATCAACCGCCAATTTCGCATCATCACGGTCGAAGGTCGTTGAATGTTGGTCTCATCGAATTCAGCTACTTAGACAGACGACGGTTGAATCCGCGTGAATTTCCATTGTGTTCGAGAAGTGGAGGTGGCGATGGAAATCGTAGCAGCGTTAGCTCCGAAGGTTTCTGTGAGAATGACACCGACATTCCCGATATATCTGAGTCTCAGGTTGTTCTCAGACAAGGTTGTGCTCAATTAAATAATTGCGGCGATACCGATTCGCAGGTCATTATTCCCTCATTTGCACTCGAGTTTATTACATTAATATTATTTCTATATTTCTTAAAATTACATTATGACAATGCATTATTGTAGGAAGGGGCTGGTAGCGAGTCATCTTCCAACAGTAACGTTAGTATGAAGAACGCTCAAGGCTCGGACAAGCATCGCTCAAACGCCTCGTCCGAGACACATAGTGATAGTAGTGATAGTAGTAATAACAAACCTGCCTGCGAGAACGCGAAATGCAGTAGGACGAATATTGCGGAGTGCCGTGATAAATTGCGTGTTGTGCCTAAAGGGGTCAGTGGTAAGAACGAACAAGAATCCGATCAAGAAAAGGAAGCTGGGAGACCATTCAAGGATGAAAGCTCCTCATCTAGTAGTGACAGTCCTTCTGGTGACGAGTATAATGTTTACTACTACGATCCAAAAGCTGTGACCAATAATAGTAGTCTGCCGAATAAATATGCTAAAAGCAATATGCATACCGCTACTACTCAAGATGCCAGTGTAGTTCTAAATAATTTAAAGAAAACGGAAGACCCATGGGACATTTTATTTGCGCGGGCAGAGGGACTTTATGCTCATGGTCATACAAGAGAAGCATGTATTATTGGAGTACAGCTAGCTGAGGAACTTTTGGCCCATCCTCCCGATCTTATAATCGAGGGACCGCCAGTGCCAGTCAAGAACAAACGAAAGAGGGTATATTCTTTTAAAGATAGAAATTATTCGCTAGATTAAAATAAATATTATGCTAAAGAAATGTTTTAACTTGACGTTACAGCAACATGTGAATCCAGCATCTCATCAGGTAACGTGTCTTGCATCGGCGACTTTAGCAAAATGTGGATTTCTATGCACAGTACTTGCTGAGAATCCAGAATATCATAATTTGGCGTTTCGCGTGGGTCTTTTTGGTTTAGAAATGGCTAGACCACCGGCTAACACAAAGCCTTTGGAAGTAAGACTAAACGAGACAATGAAACAAATTTTGTTTTATGTCATTCGTGAGATTAATGGTTATTTTTAATTTAACTAGGTTAAATTGGCTCATCAAGAAAGCGAATTGGTAGTTTTGCTAAAAAGAATTCCCTTGGGACCCACTGAATTAGCTATGATAAAACAAAGAGCCGAACAATTGAGAGATGGAGTTATGAGATCAAGAGGACATGCGCTCTTACCCATCATGTTGGCTAGTTTTATTTATGATGCGCTCGATGTACCAAGTATGAAATATTCTCTTAATAATATATATCTTAAATATTTTACTTTATAAAAATGTATTTTATTCTTCCATGAATAAATATCTAATCGAGTCATATTTATATTTATATGGAAAAGGAAATATTTCTTTGTCAAACAGAGAATAGAAATATGAAATATTTCACAGGAGTGAAACTACCTGCAGAAATTGATCCAAATCTGGGATTTGATGCCGCCGTGGCTGTCTTAGGATTGAAGGCGAACGTAAGTGAAGCAGATCATCCACTTCTTTGTGAAGGAACTCGCAGGCAGAGGTAACATTCATATTATCATATGTATATTATATATAATATTCATGTATTATATACATGTATGTGTTTGTGTACATATATTAATATACAATATTAAAATTAATACAGCATATGCAATTTTTTTTATTTTCAGAGGAGATTTAGCTATTACTTTGCTTGTACATTATAAAGATGATCCGGTAAAATTGGCTAGAATAATGGACAAGTTGCTGGATCGAGATGTTCATCAACTAATCAAATCACCTATTCTTAGTAGTTATTATACTGCTAATCCTCCCACAAAGAGTGAAGTAAGAATCTAAGATATTTTCTGCGATAGTAGGTGTACAAAATTTACACATAACATTTCCTGAATTTTAGATGGCACGATTTGTTCACGATGAAGAACGTTCATCTCCTTTAGCTGGGACTGATAATGGTGGTGAAAATGTTATTGGCGCTAACAGTAGACCTCATAGTAGTACGAGCGCAGAATTAGACGGTGGTATAAGTGCATTACCCATACAACCGCAAATTGTGCAGCTACCGGTGCCTATTAGAACTAAAGAAACCCGGTATGTTTTTATAAAATACGTAATATAACATGTGTATTATGTATCGCAACTTGTATTTTTTGTTTTGGTCGTCTAGGTATAAGAGCAAAAGGCTATATCCATCTATTCCCAATCAACCGTCAGAAGCAAGCGCGCACTTCATGTGCGAATTGGCAAAGACGGTCTTATCGAAGGCTGGTGGTACCAGTTCTACTTCGTTATTCACTCAACCATCCACTAGTCAAAATCATCATGGTCCCCATAGAGCACTTCATATGTGTGCTTTTCAACTCGGATTATACGCCCTCGGTCTCCATAATTGCGTTAGTCCGAATTGGCTCAGTCGTACATACTCAAGCCACGTGTCCTGGATAACCGGCCAAGCAATGGAAATCGGAGCTCCAGCGATTTGGTTCCTTATTGACAGCTGGGAAGGACATCTGACTCCGCCTGAAGCTGTCAGCATAGCTGATAAGTCTTCGAGAGGTAGCGATCCGAATATGGTTAGGGCAGCAGCGGAACTTGCTTTATCTTGCCTACCGCACGCGCATGCTCTTAACCCTAATGAAATTCAGAGAGCTATATCTCAGGTATGTATAATACAATCAGATATACTATGTACAAACAAATAGTTATTAAATCTTTTATTTTCTTACAGTGCAAGGAACAGAGCGAAGCTATGTTGGAAAAAGCTTGTATCACGGTAGAGAATACCGCAAAAGGAGGCGGTGTTTATCCAGAGGTGCTATTCCAAGTGGCAAAATATTGGTACGAGTTATATCTTCGGGTAAGTTTGTATAAAATAAATCGTTACTTGTATAATGTAAGTCAATTAATTTAATAAATATCTCTTTATATTTTTATTTTTAGCAAACTCCCGGTGGAGATCAGCAGGACGAGATTTCTCACGATCCTTTACAATTAGATCTCAATGGAGTATTGCTAGTTGATCCAGGACCTTCTGTAGACCTGTCGAATACTCAAATGATGCCTGGTCCGGCGCAGACAGTTGTCGTTACCAGCACGCAACCACCTCCTCAACATTATACTCATCCAACGATTACGACTTTGGCGCCTTTAGGTAAACTTACAATTCTTTTTTTCTTATAATTGAACTTTTTAAATGTTATATTATAATGTTTCAGGCGTTGGCATGCCGTACGCTGTGGGCCCATATAGCTTTGTACATCCTCATCATTCTATTGCGACATTCAGCGGTCCGATGCCTTCGCACAGAGTCACTTTACCACCCGCACCACACATGCAAATGTATCATCCATTTCCACATCATCCTGGACATCCTCAACATCCACCACATCCACATCATCCATCTCCGGCCGCTCCACCTCCACCTGGACCGTATTACACACCGCAACCTCCACCCACACCAGGAACGCGTCATTTATACACGATGCAACAACCTATACCAGTAAGCATTATTCTATTGCTTATTTTTAATCTCAATATGTATTATAAATATAATTTTTTATTTTATTCAGGTTCAGGCAGGAGTAGCGGGCCCTCTTCCTGGACAAAACAACTTACCTGGACCTGCGTTAGTTCAGACGCAATCTATGATATCGACTGTGAGAGCTCAACCTCCGGTAATTTCCAACAATATAGTACATATGTAAGATAATGTAATGTATTTAGCTTTAGATAAAAATACTTGATTTTTTTCGCCCCAGGTTCATAGGCAAAGTCAGACATTTAATCAACAACGGACTCTCGTTTCTGCATACCGTGTAGGTATGCTTGCGTTAGAAACTTTGGCTCGTAGAGTGCATGATGATCGGCCTCAAGCCAAATACGCACGAAATCCACCCTATGGAGAGGATGTTAAGTTCTTGCTGAGAGTTGCGAAACGACTTGGTTCACATTATATGCATCAGTTGTGCATCTGTGCTGTAAATAGCATTGTGAGTCCTTTTGTCCTTCACCATGTTGCTCTGGAAGCAGCTCAATATCTTGCTAGAAACAATCCGGCGCTCATCATACAGCACTTGAGATCTGCCTTATTGGCTCCGCTAGTACACAAATGCCAACAGATGTTAGTATTACTTTTATGGTATAAAAAGAAATAAAAGATGATTACAAATCTCGAGTCAGTGTCAAATAATAACTTGTGTATTTTGATTTTAGGTACATTCAGTGTATGCATCAAAAATTATATCATTTAACAGCTACTGATTATGAAGAATTTGCCAATATTGTTTGTGCAGCAAGGGCTGCTTTTCAAATCAATCCTGAAGGAAATACTCAATTCAAGGAATGGTTACAATCCATCAAAAGGTAAATCCAAGTATAAAAGATTTTATAATATATGTGTAGATGTACATGAATAAAGCTATAAGAAATTAACGATATTCTTTTTCTATACAGATCTCAGTCTTGTAATAAGGATCTGTGGGCGCAGATCAACGCGGCGTTACAACAGACCGGCAAATGACACAGGACGGAGCCAGGCGTGACGTGGCTCACTTCCCTTCCTCCTCACCCTCAACCATCCCTGCCGCCTCCACCACCGACAACAACTCTTGTATTACAGCATCAACATCCCTGTCACCCCCATCCACAGAGCAGGCTACAGTCAATAAGCTCGCTTGGGATAAAATCTCCATACCATGCATTATTGAGGAACCAGCGGCACATCAATTACCGCCACCTCCTCAACACCAAATAACCGGGCTACCGGGACCATCTGCATGGCAAGAACCAATCGACATCCGTGGTTCTCAGGGGATTAATAACAGAGACGAGCGAGATTTATCTCAAGTTTAGTTAATATATCTAGAAACGCGTGAGTAGTTGATGACGATCAAGATGATCAATTGAAGAGGATATATGAGTTCAGATAGATTTAATATGAATAAGTGAAAACAGCTTAATGAAACAGCTAAGTATAAGTTTGTGTGTTAAGTTTTACTTATATACATTATTGCTCGCATGGTAAGATTTACATAGAAATGAAACATTCAGTGCGCTGATTTATATAAGAATCATCTGCATAAAGTGTGTGTGATATGTGTATATTATATTAACGGCCATGAATCAAAATTCATGTTCTGACTTTGAGTCATATCGGATATGCGAGCGAGTCATAAAGTACGCGTAAATTTCTTTATGTTAAGATAAATTAATTCTGGGTAAATGAAAATAAGCTTAATAAATTTAGAAGGTCCGCTTTTTATATTTTCGCGTTTTTCTTATGGATAAATGCAGTATATGATTGCCATCATTATTTTTTTTAACTAAATATATCAAATATATAATATATAATTAAATCTGTTGGAAAAATGTTGCTTTTAATTTAATTTATTATTGTATCTGAATTTGATAATATTTAATATCAATAAAATATTCATAAATTGAATATTATATATATATATATGTATATACATATATACGTGGATGATTCAAGTCAAACCGGGACTTTTATTTTCATGAACATAAGAATTTGACTATGTAGTGAACCACCCACGTATATATACATATGTATATAAAATAAGTGTGAAAAGGACAGATATATAAATAATACAAATAAGCGAAAAAAGCTTTATTCGGTTAAAGCAGATCTTAGTATCTAATTATCTGATATTTTTACATAAATTTTTTTTATATACATCTTCCAGTTCGTGTAAACTGATTATTTGTTGGTCTTAAAACAGTTCTGAAGCTGAAATAGTATAATAATTAAAAAATTGCCGATTATCTTAATTACTCAACAATTTAATAATAATGATGCTAAGAAATATTTTAAACTATTGCAAAGAATTTATTGCGAAAACTACCTGAGGTAGGGTGACGTTATTAGACTTTTATCGAATAAGACTTTTTTCTTATTTATACTTTTCGCTTATTTGTAATTTATACGTATACAATATAAATAAATTTATATGCATGTATGTATATATACATATATAACAATTATATTAACAAATGTTATAAATATTTATAAAACATATTTAATTGTTAAAATATTTATAAATATATAAAATATTATATATTCTTATATATGTAACGCTGATTAATATTTACATAAAAATTTTAGAATTTTCTTATAATAATTAAGTACGAAATGCTGATTTTATATTATGAACATAAAGTCAGCATTTTATTAAAAATTATTGTGTAAAATAATTTGCTTAGCAATAATGCATTCTATAATATATATGATATTCAGAAATATTATTATAATGGAACTATATATTTGATAGCTATTATAAATTATTGCTTGCTACTAATAAGATCTACATAGAGATGATGAAGCATTGAGTGCACTGATCTATGGAAGTATTTGTATAAAATGATATACGAATATTACTATTTAAATTTTATGTTTTAATTTTAAATTATCATATTAATTAATTTAAATACTTTTTAATATTATTAAAGCTCAAATTCAATTCTATGCACATATTCGTGAAATTGATAAAGTTATCTTGTTTTCTAAGCATTTATCAAAGTAAATAATTATGAGAATTATCATAATAAATAATAAATCGCATAAAATTATTGCACGTAAAACAAAAAAAGGAAAAGAATATTAGTTTACAAAAAACTTTATATTAATTCTTAATAAATAATATTACATTAATTTATAATATAATAGAATTTGATTCTATAATTTAGAAAATAAATTTGAGTAATAAGATTTTATTGATGACATGAATTAAGTTCAATTAGTTTAAATATCAGACAGAATAATTATGAAATAGCTCTGTGTAGGACTTTTTTGTTGATTTGTAGTTTCCAATTGCATTTAAAGAAAAATTTCTATCATAATTTTCGAAATATGAGATCGATATACGTTTTTCTTAATAATCTTAATTTTAATACCTTTAAATAACTACATATAATATGTCATGTACATAATTGTAGATAATGGAATTTCAAGTTTTGAATTTTAAATGTATTGATTTATTTTTGTGAATTATACAAACCATATAAAAATAAAACTACCAAATGCATGCTAAAAGCATTCAATCTATAGTAATATTGTATGTAGACACATGTATACAGAAAAGAGATATCAAAATTAAGATCGTGTTCTTTATTATTATACGGAATCACTTCGCAAACGTGTCTTTTTGTATGAAATGATATATTTTTATTCTACGATTATATATGAAAACATGAATTTTGCAATGGAATATGTAAAGTTTAATTTTTGAATTATGATAGAAACAACAATTAGTCTATTTACATATGCTCTCTTCCATAAAATGATATATTCTTCGTCTTAATGTACGAAAAAAAATATACAATGTCTCACAACTACTGCATTTCCTTTTAAGGACATATTCTTGAGGTAATTTTGAGATGAAAATCCTAATACGAAAATCGAGGCTATAATAGTTTTCGAATTACACACTATCTTTAATCAATTATAATTCAAAAACTATTGTAGCCTCGACATTTTTGTATTAGGATTTTGGTCTCAAAATTACCTCAAGAATACGTTTTTAAGGAAATGCGGTAGTTGTGAGACACCCTGTATATATAAAAGTTTCTTATATATAAGGAACTTTTTATCCCTCATGTGGCAAATAGCGAATAAAAGAATTGAACCACATAGCCAATGACATAAACAATTAGCTGATTTACAAAAGCATAAAGGAACACATTTTTCATCCTTTGTCATTTTATTTTATTCTAATGTTTGAATATTGAATGATGTAAGAAAATATATAAATTATGAAAATGTAAAAAATGTGAATCCAACTCTGAAAATAATTAGATAACTAATCTACAAAAGAGCATCTTTTGCATAAAGTGACATTTTTCGCCTCATGCTAACACATGAAGATGTATACAGAACGATAAAAATCATACAGTCAGTTTCAATTTAATGATAAGAAATGTAAACTTGTTACGTTTGAGTTTTAATGATAAAAAACGTTTAACTGATCTACAAAAGCATCTTTTGCATAAAGTGACACATTTTTCGTCTTACGCTAACGCACGAAGAAATATATAGAGTGATGATAATAAGCCAGTTTTGAATTCAATGATAAAAAACGTTTAACTGATCTATAAAAGCATCTTTTACATAAAGTGACACATTTTTCGTCTTACGCTAACGCACGAAGAAATATATAGAGTGATGATAATTAGACCTGTTTTGAATTTCAATGATGAAAAACGTTTAACTGATCTATAAAAGCATCTTTTACATAAAGTGACACATTTTTCGTCTTACGCTAACGCACGAAGAAATATATAGAGTGATGATAATTAGACCTGTTTTGAATTTCAATGATGAAAAACGTTTAACTGATCTATAAAAGCATCTTTTGCATAAAGTGACACATTTTTCGTCTTACGCTAACGAACGAAGAAATATATAGAGTGATGATAATTAACCCTATTTTGAATTTCAATGATGAAAAATGTTTAACTGATCTATAAAAGCATCTTTTGCATAAAGTGACACATTTTTCGTCTTACGCTAACGCACGAAGAAATATATAGAGTGATGATAAAAGCCAGTTTTGAATTTCAATGATAAAAAACGTTTAACTGATCTATAAAAGCATCTTTTGCATAAAGTGACACACTTTTCGTTTTACGCTAACGCACGAAGAAATACATAGAGTGATGATAATTAACCCTATTTTGAATTTCAATGATAAACGTTTAACTGATCTATAAAAGCATCTTTTGCATAAAGTGACACATTTTTCGTCTTACGTTAACGCACGAAGAAATATATAGAGTAATGATAACAAGCCCGTTTTGAATTTCAATGATAAACGTTTAACTGATCTATAAAAGCATCTTTTGCATAAAGTGACACATTTTTCGTCTTACGTTAACGCACGAAGAAATATATAGAGTAATGATAACAAGCCCGTTTTGAATTTCAATGATAAACGTTTAACTGATCTATAAAAGCATCTTTTGCATAAAGTGACACATTTTTCGTCTTACGTTAACGCACGAAGAAATATATAGAGTAATGATAACAAGCCCGTTTTGAATTTCAATGATAAACGTTTAACTGATCTATAAAAGCATCTTTTGCATAAAGTGACACATTTTTCGTCTTACGCTAACGCACGAAGAAATATATAGAGTAATGATAACAAGCCCGTTTTGAATTTCAATGATAAACGTTTAACTGATCTATAAAAGCATCTTTTGCATAAAGTGACACATTTTTCGTCTTACGCTAACGCACGAAGAAATATATAGAGTAATGATAACAAGCCCGTTTTGAATTTCAATGATAAACGTTTAACTGATCTATAAAAGCATCTTTTGCATAAAGTGACACATTTTTCGTCTTACGTTAACGCACGAAGAAATATATAGAGTGATGATAACTAGCCCGTTTTTGAATTTCAATGATGAAAAACGTTTAACTGATCTACACAAACAGCTTTTACATAAAGTGATGTATTTACATCCTATATATACACACGAAGAAATACGTAAAGTGATCTAAATCTTTTTTCTTTTACAGTGTAATGACGAAAACTATACGAAAGCATCTTTTGCATAAAGTGATATAAACATATTATGTTAATATAAGAATGTTAACTCATGTGTCATATGCGGAAATCATTAAAT